TCTCTCTCTCTCTCTCTCTCTCTCTCTCTCTCTCTCTCTCTCTCTCTCTCTCTCTCTCTCTCTCTCTCTCTCTCTCTCTCGCACACACACGCACACACACACACACATCCCAAAAAGCAGCTTGACGGTCGACAAAGGGAGAGGAGAAAAGAAATAGCTCACCGATCTTTGAGCAGCGAATGCGTGGTCAGGACGAGAGCGAACGATGAGCGGGAAGGTTTTGGGTGCTGGGCGTGGGTTGGAGGTGAGGACGAGAGAGAGAGAAAGACTCACTTGATTCACTCATGTAGACGAAGCCTCCAACCAACAACGCGCAAGCCTTCGGCCCAGCCGCCCATGTTAAGTAAAGTAGACAAAGCCTCAAGCTCAGTAGCACCAGACGCCGTCCATGTTCATTAAAGAAGGCAAAGTCTCAAGCTCAGTAGCACCAATCCCCGTCAAAGTTCAGGGAGCGCGACGCACCAAGTCAGGGAGCACCAAAGGAGATAGAGGAGAGAGAAGAGAGAGAAGAGCGAGGGAGAGGGCCACAAATTAACGGCACCGAGTTCTCAAAGCACTTAGTAGCACGAAGCACCACGTTCACGTAGCACGTGGCAGGGAGGAGAGAGAGAGAGAGAGAGAGAGAGAGAGAGAGAGAGAAAGGAGAGGAGAAAGAGAGAGAGAGAGACAGGAGAGGAGAGCGAGAGCGAGAGAGAGAGAGACAGGAGAGGAGGGAGAGAGAGAAAGAAGAGAGAGGAGACGCACATAGCACGCAGCTCCAAGCACATTGCATCATTCGTAGAACCAATTCAGGTAGCACATCGGGTAGAGTAGCACCAGTTCGCGTAGTACATCACCCGTTCACGAAGCACGAAGCACGAAGCACGTAACACATACCACCAAAAAAAAGCACGAAGCACGAATCCACGTTGGATGTTGGGGTGGGCGGGGGTGGGCGGGGGTGGGGGGGCGAGAGAGAGGGAGAAAAACAGAGTGCACGTGGCACGATTCGTCAGCACCTACCACTTAACACGTTGCACGAAACATGTAGCACGCAGCTCCAAGCACGAAGCACGGAGAGAGAGAGAGAGAGAGAGAGAGAGAGAGAGAGAGAGAGAGAGAGAGAGAGAGAGAGAGAGAGAGTCCACCAATTCGTAGCACGTAGCTAGTAGCACTTGCACACGTAGCACGTGGCTCCAACCCCGAAGCACGAAGCGCACGGCACGTAGCTCCAAGCACGAAGCACCAAGCGCAAGTACGGAGCAGGTAGCATCAAAGCCCGAAACACACACACACACACACGAAGCACACACACACACACACACACACACACAGAGAGAGAGAGAGAGAGAGAGAGAGAGAGAGAGAGCAGTCGGTAGGTCGCCAGGTAGGACGCGTAGGGTGGGTCTTGTAGGGCAGGTAGGTCCGGTAGTGCAGGCAGGCCGCGCAGATAGGTCGCGCTGGGCAGGTAGGCCCGGTAGTGGAGGTAGGCTGCGAAGGGTAGGTCCCGTGCAGGTACTGTGCAGGTAGGCTGCGAAGGGTAGGCCCGGTAGTGCAGGTACTGTTAGACCGGGCCTACCTGCGAAAGGTAGGCCCGGTAGCGCAGGTACTGTTAGACCACGCCAGGCGTGGTGTCGCAGCCAGGGTTGTCGTTCGGAAGAGTGGAGCTGTGGCGTGCGGGCCCCTTTTTTTTTTTTTGTTCGCAGCCCTAAGGCTGCGGTATGGTGGGCTTCCGCTTCTGTGTCAAGGTGTCGCATTTTTGGCGGCGGGCGAGCAGGACGCAAAGTGGGTTCTTAGGGGGCAAAAAAAATTGGGGGACCGGTCCTTGCCAAAATTGTGAACTACCTATTGTCTACCGCGTGGGTGCGGGGAAAGCAACCCTAAGGTAGCTAAATCAATGAGACTAAGAGCTAACACAAGAGAGAGAGAGAGAGACAGAGACAGAGAGGCAGAGAGAGAGAGAGAGAGAGGCTGAATGGCAAAATTGAAATATGGGTCAAATTGCGGCCGCAATTTATTTCGCAGTTGGAATGATTTTTTTAAATTTATTCAGCGTTTTTCCTGGAAAGATCACAACAAAATCTACGAGTACTCCAATTTTCAGGTTTTTTCACGCATTTTAAGCGTGAAAACTCGTTGAATTTGGAGTACTTTTTTAGTTGGTCCAGGCATGGCTGAGTGGCAAAAATGGAAAATGTGTTGAATCGATGCGAAGATTATTTCGCAGTCTAAATGATTTTTTGTAAATGTTCTATTATTGTTTCTGGAAAGAACACAACCTCATCTATGGATTCTCAAAATTTCAGACTTTTTTGCATGTTCGTCTGAGCACAGAAAATCGTCAAAACGCCTGTTTCGTTGTGCCTGACCTCCCTGTTTTGAGAAGGCGGGGCTCAACGTCTGGGCTTGAGGGCCCTTTTGCAGTTCACATGCTCTCGTATCTTTCTGGGGTTTACTTCTACCCGAGGACCGCTCCAATGCCCCCCCACTTCTTTTTGGGGTCCACTTCCACTCGGGGACCGGTCCTTCGCTTTTCCAAAAGTCCCAGTTTTACCAGAGCTAGCTGTAGGTAGTCTGCAATTTTGGCAAGGACCGGTCCCCCAAATTTTTTTGCCCCCTAAGAACCCACTTTGCGTTTTGGTCGCCCGCCGCCAAAAATGCGCAGCCAAAAATGGAAAATGTGTTGAATCGGCGTGAAGATTATTTCGCAGTCTAAATTATTTTTTGTAAATGTTCTATTATTATTTCTGGAAATAACACGACCTCATCTATGGATTCTCAAAATTTTAGATTTTTTTGCATGTTCGTCTGAGCACAGAAAATCGCCAAAACGCCTGTTTCGTTGTGCCTGACCTCCCTGTTTTGAGAAGACGGGGCTCAACGCCTGGGCCTGAGGACCCTTTTGCAGTTCACATGCCCTCACTTCTTTTTGGGGTCTGATTCTACCCGAGGACCGGTCCAACACCCCCCACTTCTTCTCGGGGTCCACTTCCACCCGAGGACCGGTCCTTCCTTTTTCCAAAAGTCCCGGTTCTACCAGAGCTAACTGTAGGTAGTCCGCAATTTTGGCAAGGACCGGTCCCCTATTTTTTTTTGCCCCCTAAGAACCCACTTTGCGTCCTGGTCGCCTGCCGCCAAAAATGCGACACCTTTACACAGACGCGGAAGCCCACTATACCGCAGCCTAAGGGTTGCGAACAGCTAGCTCTCGTAGAACCGGGACTTTTGAAAAAAGGAAGGACCGGTCCTCGGGTGGAAGTGGACCCCACGAAAAAGTGGGGGGTGTTGGACCGGTCCTCGGGTAGAAGCAAACCCCGAAAAGAAGTGAGGGCATGTGAACTGCAAAAGGGCCCTCAGGCCCAGACGTTGATTTTCGTCTTATCAAAACAGGGAGGTCAGGCACAACGAAACAAGCGTTTTGCAAGAGGCAACTTTGGAGATTTTTTGTGCTCGGACGAACAAGTACAAAAATATGAAATTTTGAGAATCCATAGATAATGTCGTGTTCTTTCCATAAATAATAATATAACATTTACAAAAAATCATTTAGATACATGAAATAATTGTCTCGCTGATTCGAAATGTTTTCCAATTTTGCTACTCAGCCATGTATGGGCGAACTGAAAAAGTACCCCAAATTCAGTGAGTTCTCACGCTAAAAAAATGCATTAAAAAACGTGAAAATTTCAGTACTCGTACATTTTTTGTGATACTTCCAGAAAAAATGCTAAATGCGCGGCCGCAATTTAATCCATATTTCAATTTTGTCATTCAGTATCTCTCTCTCTCTCTCTCTCTCTCTCTCTCTCTCTCTCTTTCTCTCTCTCTCTCTCTCTCTCTCTCTCTATCTATCTATCTATCTATCTATCTAT